TAGGAATAGACAGCCATATACAACAAATCAATAACCACCATTATACTGAATGGAAGAAAACTGAAAGCAAGGAATAAATCAGGAATAAAAAAATTATTCTTAAATCAGGAATAAAAAAAGTGCCCCTCTTTCCACTCTTATCAGTATAGTGCTTGAATTCCTAGCCAGGGCAATAAAGTGGGAAAGAGAAATAAAAAGGATACAAGTAAGAAATGAAGAAGTCAAATTATCCCTATTTTCAGACAATATGACCTTTACTTAAAAGGCCATAAAGACTCCATGAGCCAGACGCCAGTGGCTCATGCCTGTAATCCCACAGAGATCAGGAGGATTGCAGTTTGAAGCCAGCCTAAGCAAATAGTTCCACATGACCCTATCTTGAAAAAAGCTTTTCACAAAAAAGTTCTGGTGGAGTGGCTTAAGGTATAGCTCTGAGTTCAAAACCCCAGTACCACAAAAAAAAAAAAAAAAACTCCATGAGAAAACTCTTAGATCTGATTAACACTTTTAGCAAAGTAGCAGGATTCAAAATTAACATACAAAAATGAGGAGCTTTTCTATATGCCAATAACAAACATGACAAGAAAGGAATCAGGAAGATTATCCACTTACAATGCCCAAAAATAAAAAAGAAAACCTAGGTATAACCTAACCAGGAAGATGAAAGACCTTTGATGCAAACTATTAGATGCTAAAATAAAGAAATTGAGAAAGATACTAGCGCATGGGAAAGACATCCCATGTGCATGAATTGACGGAATTAATATTGTGGATACATGGGCTGGTGGAGTAGCTCAAGTGATAGAGTGCTTGCTTGCGAATATGAGGCCCTGGGTTCAAACTCCAGTACCACCCAAAAAAAAAAAAAAAACTCAGTATTGTGAATATGACTACTATGAAAATTAATCTACACGTTCAATGCTATTCCTACCAAAATTCCAATGACATTCTTCACAGAAACAGAAAAAAAATCCTAAAATTCATATGGAAGCAATGGATTAGCAAAAGCAATCCTAGCAAAAAAAGTAATGCTATCACAATATCTGATTTCAGATTATACTACAGGATCATAATAAACAAACAGCATGGTACTAGCACAAAAACAGACATGTATATCAACTGAATAGAACAGAAGACCCAGAATTAGCTACCTGATTCTAAACAAAGAAACTTCAGCGCTAAAGTGCTCCTTAGACATGCCCAAAACATACCTTGGAGACAAGACAGTCTCTTTAGTAAAAGGTGCTGGGAAACCTGGATATTCTCTTGTAGGAGACTGAAACTAGATCCCTGTTTCTCACATTGTTCAAAAATCAATTCAAATGAATCAAAGACCTTAATGTAAAAACACAAAGTTTGAACTACATGAAGCAAATATTTGAAGAAACAGGCAAAGGTAACTACTTTCTGAATAAGACTCCAGTAGCTCGGAAAATAATAGCAAGAATTAACCAATGGGATTGGGTCAAGTTAAAAAGAACTGCACAGTAAAGGAAGCAATTACGAGAGTAAAGAGATAGCCTACAGAATGCGAGAAAAAAATCTCTGTCAGCTATTCTTCTGACTAGGGATTAATATCCAGAATCTATAAAGTAATCAAAAACTAGGGCTGGGGGCATGGCTGAAGCAATAGAGTGCTCACCTGGCAAGCTCAAAGCCCTGAGTTCAAACTCCAGTACTGCTAAAAACAAAAAGAAAAGAGAAAAGGATTTAAACAGAACATATAATTCAATTAATAGAAATGGGGGTGTGTTGCTCAAGTGGTAGAACACTTGCCTAGCCAGTGTAGGGCCCTATATTCAATCCCTAGTATCACCTATGAACACATAAATAAACAATAAGAAATGGGCAAATGAATTGAACAGGCACTTCTGAAAAGAATTAAAAATGACCAATTAAAAATGTTCAACATTTTTAGCCATCAGGGAAGTGTACATCAAAACTGCATTGATGTTCCATCTCATCCTAGTCAGAATGGCATCATTAAGAAAGCAAACAACAAATGCTAATAAAGATGCTGGGAGGAGGAGAGAAGAGTCCTTGGCACTGTTGGTGGAAATGTTAATTAGCCAGCCACTGTGGAAATCAGCATGGGGGTTCCTCAAAACAATAAAAATAGAACTGCAATATGATGCAGCTAGACCATTCCTGGGTATATACCTGAAGGAATCGGGATCAAAATACAGCAGAGATACCTGCACACCAGGTTTATTTATCACAGCCCCATTCACAATAACTAAGTTATGGAAAGAGCCTAGGTGTCCATCAGTGGATGGATGGATGGATGGATGGATGGGTGGATAGAGAAAATGTGGTATATATACACAGTGAGGTATTATTTAGCCATAAAGAAGAACAAAATCCTGTCATTAGCAAGAAATGGAACTGGATATCATCATGTCAAGCAAAATCAACCAAATTGAAAAAGAGAAACATCATCTCATGTGGAATCTTGATTTAAGGGGCAAAAAAGATATGCAAATAGAAAAAAAACTTGGTACTAAAAAATACATGGAAAAAAAGAGCAGAAATAGACAAGAATTCTATGCATTTGAAACCTTATGCATCATGTGGAACAATGGCCAAAGTAAATGAAAAATATTAGAATAAAGAATGTTACATGCTTGTTCATGCATATGTATACACAGTAGTGAGATACAGAAAAACTGGTCACTTTGGTAGAAAAGGAATTGGGTAGTGTGGGAACAGAGATAGGACAGAGACTATTGTAAACTTCAATATATATATATACATTTTTGGCAGTACTAGGGTTTGAACTCAAGGTTTCATGCTTGTGAGGCAGGTACTCTACCGCTTGAGCACACCTCCAGCCCTTTTCGCTCTGGTTATTTTGGAGATAGGATCTCACTGTTTGCCCAGGCTAGCCTGGACCACAGTCCTCCTATTTCAGGCTTCCTGCCATAGCTGGGATGACAGGCTCGTACTACCATGTCCGCCTTTTTTCCATTGAGATAAGGTCTCATAAACCTTTGCCTGGACTGGCCTGGAAGCATCAGCCTCCCAAGGAGCTAGGACTATAGGCATGAGTCATGAGCACCCAGCATAAATGTTAGTACTTTTAAAGTTTTGCTCCATGTAAACATACTTCATGTTCAATAAATTAATAGAGTTTCTTATCAGCTGTTAGTGGATTCAGGACATTTGTGAATCCCACAAAACTTGACAGAATTTAGGTATATTTATTTTTCTAAGAAGAAAGTCTTAACTTGCATCAGTTTTTCATAGGCATGTGTGATCCAAACAAGATTATGAACCACAAATTTAAAATAAATTCAAATAAAATCCTGTAACCCCCTGTAGATCATTTGGGGCATGAGGTGTTTGGACGTAGGCTCCACAGGGCTCAGGCAGTCCTGCCGCTGTAGTCTGACTGGCTGCAGCCCGCATGGCCACTCTCTGGAGCTGGCCCTGCTCACTGCCTATGGCTGCCCTCAGCAGCGATTCCACGTTCTGGGCATCTCTAACTTCCTGAAGTCTCCATTGCTGCCTGCAGCTTCCCCCTCACAGCTCCTGACCACTCAGGGGCTGCGAGAAGGAATTCTGACTGCCACATGTTGCCTGGCCTCAAGGTTTTCCTTTGAATCTCAGTGGAAGCCTCAATGACCCCATAATTCTTTCATTCTGTATAACTACAAACCCAGCATGGAGTGGGCAATGCCAAGGTCTGACACCAGCACAAGCTGTACCTGGGCCTGCTTGAGTTACACTGATACCAAATGAGTGCTTGGAGTTGTGGGCCAGCTGCCCGGTTCTAGGTGAGCAAGGACTCTCCTTTCAAAGGACTCTGCCCTGGAAAGTCTTTGAAACAAATTTGCATTTCTCTGTCTCTGAACTTGCCATCTCCTTCAAGTTCAACCTCCCACAAAGACACAGGGCATGGACAAAAAGTATGGGAATTACTTGCTATCATGTAACACAGGTAGCTAATAGAGTCCTCATTTCTATCAGAAACAGCTTAGTACACCTTTCCTGTCTGCATTCTTATCAGCATTTGATCTTCTGAGCCCCTACAAGAACCATTCCTAAAGCTCCACTTACAGCATTCTAGATATTCTCTACCTCACTCCTCTTTCTGCAGACCAATTCCAGGGGGGTCTACATCATTAGGTATAGTTACAGCAACAACCATACTTTTTGGTACCAAGTTTCCATCATTCAGTTTGCTGTTACTATAACAAATACCTGAGATAAATCAACTTATATCAAGACAAGGTTTATTTTGGCTCACAGTTTTGGAGATTTCAACACATGGTGACCTGGTCCGATTGCTTTTGGGCCTGTGGCAGGGTTCACATGGTAGAGTTTCTTTTTTTCAGTGCCTGCACTGAATTTGGGAGACATTAATGAATTAACAAACATTTAACACACTTATGTTTTATATTTGTATGAGAGTTATATATTTTTTGGTGGGACTATTAGATTTTAACTGTTTGAAAAATTATACTTTGTGATTTCCATTAAAATATGTGAAATGGGGGGAAAGCAGAATGTAGGCCAAGAAGGTAGCTGATGATGATGAGAAGAATTTAGATACCAAGACCAATAACCTGACTTCTTGCACAAAGAACGCACTCAATACACTCGTCACATTGAATATTTGCTACAAATCCACAATCTGCTTTATATTGTTTGCATTTAAATACATTTTACACTGGCCAGTGAAACAGGTTTTTATTTTCCTAGTTCTTTAAATGTGGGAAAAAAACCCTGTAAATTAATTCCTAATGCCCATAAACTTTGTGAGCCTGAGTAGGATGATCTAACAACATGTAACATGTAAGTCACATTACTCACTTATGACACTTAGAAGAGTCTCATGTATTCACTCTGATGGCCAATCTCATTTCCAAATCTCCCACCCAAGATAGATTATTTTATAGCTTCAGCATTAGAAGATAGTTTTTAAAACAATGAGGTTTAATTACATTTATCTGCCAGACTATCTTGTTGTAAATGTAGATTTCCAATAGATGAATCTTATTAAAACTTCAGGCTTGTATCAACATATTTTAGTATATTTTCTAAATAAAGAAGTAAATGCTGACCTCCTGCGTCCACCAACGTTGGGAGATCAAGACGTCCAATCCCCAGCCGTGGCGCTGCCCATTGGAGTCTTGTACTGCAGCACTTGAGGCTACAAGCCCTAGGATCTCCAGCTCAAGAAGAAAGTAGATGAGTTTCCCAGCACCTGGACATCTGTGGTGAATTGCCTCTCCAGGTCACTGGGTTGTTTGAAGTGATGATAGCTGGGAAGTTGGATCACTGCAAGAAGAGAGGTGATGGCTACGTTCCTGATGCAGGTGGCTCCATTGAGGCCACCTTGGCCACGGCTGGAGAGCCCTGAAGGCCGGGTCCAGGGACCTTGACCCCACTCCTCTCCTTCCTTCAAGACAGGAAGAACTGAAAGATCTCCCAAGATTCCTGGTCTTTCCTTCATGTTCTCGTGGCCACCAGGTGGGGACAGAGATCAACGCCCCTGGTCCTTGGCTCTGGGTGAGAATGTGGTATCCCTGGGATCCACCTTTGCATGCTGTTCCCTTCAGCTCCCACATTTCCCCCACCTCCTCCTGCGCCCTCATGTCTCTCCTGCCACCCTCCAGAAGGAGTGGGGCTTCCTTCAGCAGGGGAAGATGTGAGGGCTCAGAATTGGGAGGCTGTTTGCTGCAACACTGGCAACAGTTCACAGTTCAATAAACATTGGATGTGTATTTTTTTAATAAGAAGTAAGTGGAAATATACATGAATATGTGTTGTGCTTCAACAGATGTGTATTATCAGTGACCAAAAGTCTGATCACTGAATCCATTTCCTAATGGATTCAGCAGCAGGAAGCTGCTTTTAATTGGATGCCCAATAAATTGTACTTTCTCCCATAGCCACAATTCACAGGTCCAGAAATTAAATGGTAGAAATAAGAGTAGATGACTCACTATAACCCCTACTGACCAACTAGCAAAAAATTTTCTTCTTTTTCCCATGGCTTTATGTTCTGCTGGCCTAGAGGTCTTCATTCCAAAGGAAAGAATACTTCCACCGAGAAACAGCACTGCTACCTGGCTGGCTGCCTTGGGCCTCTTATGCCTCTTGGTAAATAGGCAAGAAGGGAGTTAGTGTGCTGGTGGAGCAATTGATCCTGAACCAAGGATAATTGGACTACTACTCCATAATGAAGGTAAGAAAAAGTATGTCTGAAATACAGGAGATCTCTTAGACCATGCCCTTTGATTAAGGTCAATGGAAACTACAACCCAACCCAGTCAGGACTTTGAGTGAACTAAACTCGTCTGGAATGAAGATTTGGCTCACCTTAGCAAGTAAAGAATTAGACTAAGGTGCTTGCTGAAGACAAAGGGAATACAGAATGTGTAGTGGAAGAAGCTAGGTATAAATACTAGCTATGACCATGTGACCAGTTACAGAACTGTGAACTGGAATTATTATGAGTATTTCTCTTTATTTTGTTATAAATGTGTATATGATACCATTGTTTTCTTCCCTCTCTTATTCTCTTATCACATAAGATAGACTTAATATTATATTTAATATTTAAAATTTATTCCTTTTACATTGTAGTATTAAATTATGGGTATCCAAAAGAGTTAACATTACTCAAGTACTTTATCTCCTTTTCTGGGGTAGATCTAAGTACATTTTCAGTTGTATGAAGGTACTTAGATCAGGTAGAATTACGAGTTTGCTATTGTCTTCATTTGAAGTTACATACAAATGCCAAGTTAAGAGTGGACTTCTAAAGGTTAATTTATTTTGGTCAAACGTTACTCTGAGTGTGTCTGTGAAGGTGTTTCTGGATAAGATTAACATTTGAATTGTAGACTAAGTAAAGTAAACTGCCTTCCCTAATGTGGGGAGGCCTTAGCTGATGTATTGAAAATATGAAGAGAACAAAAAGGCTAAAAGGAAATTCCTCCTGCTTGACTGTTGGACTGCAACATCGGTTTTCTTCCATCTTAGGACTCCTAAAACACTGGCTTTTCTTGGATGTTGGGCCTGCTGGCCTTTTGACTGGACTTACATCACCACCGGCTTTCCTGGTTCTCAGACTGGAATTAAACATAGGCTCTCCTGGGCCCCTAGTTTGCTGGCTGCAGATATTGGAACTTCTGAGTGTCTATAATCATATGAGACAATAATGTATAAATTTTATCTATCTAACTATATATCTCTTATTGGTTTTATTTCTCTGTAGAACCCTGACTCATAAAAATAACCTAATAATAAATGGAAAAAAATGAGCTGGGTGCCCGTGGCTTATGCCTATAATCCTAGCTACTCAGGAAGCAGAGATCAGGAAGATCGTGATTCGAAGCCAGCCTGGACAAATACTTCATGAGACCCTATCTCAAAAAAACCCTTTACAAAAAAAAGGGCTGTGGAGTGGCTCAAGGTGTAGGCCCTAAGCTCAAACACCAGTATCGCAAAAAAAAAGGAAGAAAAATTATTTTACTATTTAAAATTGTATTAATTATTAAGTACAATTCAATGTGATTATTAATAACCACATTTGGTTTCAAAGTATTTTTTTACTATTAACTTTAGTTTAATTTTCCTGGGACATATATACTGCTCTATAAATCAACAAGATGCTATTTCTCTACAGTATGCCTCTTTTTTAAAACTTAAATTTTAAATATTCTTTGTTAATAATCATATTCACTGCAATCATAACAACAGAAACAGTAGAAAGCAAATGTTACAGAGAAAACAGAGTCTATGAATGTCCATGTCTCAGAGAAAATGTTCTCAAATTTACCTATGGCAACAATTTGGAACAAGTACCTCTTAGTATCATCCTTTTACTATGCTTACTTGAACACAGGGCTAATGTTAAAATATTTTCTACTTTTACAAGCTATTTTATTTTCGTTCCAATTCTAACTCTGCCCAATTGCTCTATTCAAGTCAAGTCATTAAATCTCCACTTCTTTGATTGATATTTTAATTATCCAGTTCTTTCCAGCTGCGTCCACCCTAGCTTTTTATGAAGAATGGAGAATTAGGCTTTCTGTATTTGAATGATAGAACTATTGTTGGGATCATTCTTCCAAAAAATGAAGGACAACCCTCCCCGCCAGGTCTGCTGTTGTGAATACCTTGGGAGAGATGGTTGCCTATCATTTCCCTATTATTAATTTAACATTTTAAAGATCATAACAACTATTTGAACCAATTACTGGTTTTTAAAGCAAAGAAATGTGTATACATTTCTATATTGATATAAATCTTGGGCTAGTCAGATGTGAAGATTGCATTTAGGGCACTTGTTTGTCACCCTTGGTCTTCAGGAATTCTCTGTGCATTTGAGAGAAACTACTGGCTGATCTGAGCAAGGCAATAATGTGACTGTGGAACTAACCAATAGACTTCCATCAAGGCAGCCTATCTATTGAGTCAATTTTTGGTTTTAAAAAACAGAAACCAGCTGGGTACTAGTGGCTCAATGCCTGTAATCCTAGCTACTCAGGAGGAAGAGATCAGGAGGATCACGGTTTGAAGCCAGCCCAGGCAAATAAGTTCAAGAGATTCTATCTCAGAAAACAAACCAACAAACAAACATTACAAACTGGGGCAGGAGGAATGGCTCAAGTGCCTAATAAACATAAGGCCCTGAGTTCAAACCTCAGTGCCACAAAAAAGGGGGGGAATAGAAACCAGCTGTATTTTAACTTCAACAAAAAGTAGGAAATACACGATAAAATTGAGGTATGTCTCAGGTTGGGACTGGAGCTATGCACCATACTCTCCCTCTTTGTTTCTGTCCATGTATCTTTTTCATTTTCGCCAGTCTTCATGGTAGAAAATATGTTGCACAATCTCGATTTTTTATATTTTCTGCATTAAAGATTTCAACCCTGACTAAGACCAGATCTCTTATCCCTAATTCCAAATTTTCCAAGGTCTCAATTCAATCCAAGTTGTAGCCAGGATGAAGGTTAGGGGTCATAATATGTAACCATGGCTGCTTGGAAAGTCAACGTGTGAGCATGTGGGTGAGGGGAAAAAGGAAAAGTTTGCAGAGAAAGAGAACTGGTAGCAAATAGGTATCCCCTGCAAGGCCTTCTCTTCCCTCTAGTGGAAGATTCATCTTAAACAGTGACTCTCTGGCAACACACTGGGGAAAAGGAGGCAGATGGCATTAATGTAGACTTGGTAAAGAGAGCAATTTTAAGGCAGTTGGACCTTTTTGGGCCCCTTCAATTTATACCATGTGTATGGTTTTTTTTAAATATAGATTATTATTAGGACCTGTCATACAAAAAGAGATTTCATTGAAAATTCATTCTTGGATTTTGATCCAACTTCAAAAGCAAGTATATGTTGATTATTCAGATCAGTTTTGCATGCACAGACCCACTTAGTTTATCACAGTGCCTGAAATAACATAAAGTGCAAGCTGTGACTCAGTTGTTTCCATCCTGCAAACCAATGGGTTCCAGGACATCTAGGGATCCACAAGAGAAGAACTGAAGACCTATAAGCTATTTCCAGTATTTCATAGAGTCCAAAGGAAATAATAAATTTACCTGGCACAAAGCCATGATAGGCTATCTAAAACAAATTTACCTGCTTTAAAATGGAATTATATCAACTCAGAGCAGCAAGTCTTGATTACTTGCTGATCTCAACTCCAGTTTATGCTTACAAAGCTGGATCAGGAGGATTCCCTGATTCAAGGCCAGCTTGAGCAAATGGTTCATGAGACCCTGTCTTCAAAATAAACAAAGTAAAAAGGACTGGAGGTGTGGCTCAAGAGATAGAGACCCTGCTTTGCAAGCAGGGAACCCTGAGTTCAAACCCCAGTCCCACCAAAAAAAAAGTCTGTTTTAATATATACATATACCTTGGTTAAATTCTGGGTAAATAAATGCCACCTGTCTTAGTCCATTTTCTATTACTAAAACAAAATACATGATACTGTGTAGTTTATAAAGGAAAGAGACTTATTTTGGCTCATGGTTCTAGAAGTCCAAGAGCATTGTGCCAATAACTGCTCAGCTTCTGCCATGGGCCTTGCACTGTAACAATTCATGGCAGGAAGTGGAATAGCAAGCCACATGTCCTGCAGAGAAGCCCGTGTGTGAGGAGGGAAGGAAGCTGCCAGGCTCGCTTTATAACAACCCACTCCCACGATGAATAACCTATTCTTGAGGGGAGTTCCTTAATCCATCATGAGGGTGAACCCCCCTCCCATGACCTTGTAGCTCTTAAAGGTGCTACTGCCTCTCGACACCATTACATTGAAAGAATTGTGTCACTGCATGAGTTTTGGTGAAGACGAGCTATAGCACCATTATGTGAAATTTATATTTTAATAAAGTTACATGTGGCCACTATGATTCAGGTTATATTCTAAAGACTACAGAAAGAAATTTGAGGCTTAATATTTCTACAGTCATCTTTCCTAAAGGTCTTTAAACACGAGACAATCAGCCATCTCTCTAAAATGACTTCTGGAAGATTCTTCTGCTTTCCTCTTAAAATACATTAAAAATACCATCCACCCCCATTATTACAAGTTGTACTGATTAGGGAAATACACTGCAAGAATGACAGAGACCCATGGATAATGAGTTATTTCTAGGAAAGCTCTCCTTTAGAATATGAATCTGCTCATCCTCTGAACATTAAGATTCGAATGTACAGGATTTCCTGCAATTCCTCATTTTCATAATGGACCCAAACACTTCGTCATTTCTCCGCTTCATTCTAAGAGTAGGTTCTCTTGAATGAGTCGTAGTGAACAAGATGGACAGGAAAGTTTTCTAACATTCTAATTCTCTTCTTACAGTCCAGGCTGTCAGAAATCTTTCAATCCCTGAAATCCACTCGGGAGCAAAGCCACTCCTCTTCCTATAGCCAAGGGAGTCAATAGGTCATTTTCAGCAGCCTTGAACTCTTGTCTTTCACCTTACAAGGCTTATAGCTCTGTACTAAATTACTACCCAGCCTACCTTTCAGATAAGTAATTAATCCCACTCTAAATGAGAAGGCCCATAATTGCAAATCACCTGTAAATATTCCCTCTATTTCAGTCTTGGAAATGGCATACCTACATTTGAAAAAAAAAAATTAGAAGCAATAATGAAGACCAATGAAGACATATTTATCCAAAATCAACTCATACATAATGGACAAGTCACTCCCCAAATGTTCTTTGTCAGGCTGTGCAAAGAAGAGAGAAGCAGATAGGACACCCATCAATAAGAGTAAGGGCTTTTCCTGGTCCCTAAACGCATATACACAGTTTTCTTTGTAAAGTCAATGTACAGGACATTTGCCTTTTCTTCCTGAAAGCATCTGTGAGTCTTTAGATGAAATAGGCTTAAAATGGGCACATGATAAGGAAGAAGTTTAATGTAACATGCAATCGTGCTATTTTAAAAAGCTCCATGTCAAATTCAGTTTACATATAATAGCTTTTTAAGGAAGGAGGGTTGTAACATGTAGGCAATTTGAAAATGGAACATTTCATTTGCAAGTTCAGGACAGCATTCAATTCCCTTACTAGTGTGCTTCTAATTAAATCTTAATTGTACTACTCATTTTGAAATGAAAGAAAAACTGTTATGCTGGATTTCCCCTAAGAGGAAATCAAAATGGACTCCATAAAATGGTCAATCCACAAAAAAGGGGGGAAAAAAATCCTATGTGGAAACAAGACTTAAAATTAAAGCCTAGGGCTGAAGGTGTGGCTCAAGTGGTAGAGTGGAGCATGTCTGCTTCGCAAACATGAAGCTCTGAATTCAAACCCCAGTCCCATCAAAAAAAAAAACACAAATTAAAGTCTAACACTTGAGTATGCAAAACTATAAAATTATCACAAAGAATATTTTTTTTGATGTTATTAAATATATGTAATTAATTATAGTAAATAACCTGAATGTATGAGGAACATTGAGTAGGTGGTAATATGTAATAAAAATGATATATTCAATAATTTAAGTTGCTACTTTATCATATGCTAATTTTAAAATATAATCTTCTAAAATAAATATTTAAATTATTTTGCCTTTAAAAAAGGGGAAAGCTGCCTAGTGGAGGCTAAGGCAGGAGGGTCTTGAGTTGAGGCCAGCCTGGTGGGGTGGGGGAAGTAGACAGGACCAAAAATGTAAGTAGCCCCAGTGCTGCTTTCTCATGGGAAAGGGGTTTTGTCTGAATCATAGGATAATTATTATATTTGTTTCCTTTATTTTACTTTATCTTTTGGTGGTGCTGGGGTTTTGAACTCAGGTCCTCACTCTGCCAATTGAGCCGTGCCCCCAGTTACACTTGTCTTATTACACTTTCTTTTTTTTGGCTGTACTGGGGTTTGAACTTAGGGCCTCACACATGCTAGGCAGATGCTCATTCTGCCAGCCCTTTTTTATGTTGGATATTTTTGAGATAGGGTCTTAAGAACTCACCCCGGGGCTAGCTTCAAACAACGATCTTCCTGATCTCTGCCTCCTGGATAGCTAGGTTTACAGGAGTGAACCACCAGTGCAAGGATGACACACAAATCTATGAAACATTCCATCTTAAAAAAAATAGTAGGGTTTTGAGGGAATCATAAGAAGGAATGCACACAGTAGCAAAAGAATCCAGCTGTATAACACATATATGAAGCATTTTGAAGTAGGGGGAAAGTTCTGACCTAACTTTGAAAATTAGTCTGTAAGACTAAATGCAAAAAGAATGTATTAGCACTGTACTAGTCAGTGCCGCACAGGGGTATTAGTTAACAGTTCTGATACTGCTATACATGCACACTAGACTGAAAAATTAAATAAATGCCTGGCAAGAGCCAGGTTTCTCACTGTTGGAGTAGGAGTTTTGAGAGAAGCGAGAGACTAGAATACATTAGAGTTAGAGACATCACTATGAACTATATACATTACGCTTACATTGATATTGATACAAATAATTGTATGTAGAAATGGGTGTAGATTCCTATGTTCACGTGTGGGTTAGTATACTCACACCTTCGCTCTGTAGGCTGAGTGATACTAGAAGTGCGATACTCCAATAGCAATAAACACACCTAACACCCAGATTTTTGTTTCTAATACCAATTTCCATTAAAAGGGCTGGAACAAGGGTACCCAGGGGAAAATTAAGGTTTCTAGGACTTAGGCAGGGAATATGCAAGTTGACCTTGGAGCTTCTTGTAGCATCAGAAAGTAAAGAAAGAAAAAACACCTCTATTGATGGGGATATGTCAAAGGAACACAAGAGCCAGCTGAAAGAGCTCTCAGTGGTGAAAAACAGAACAATTTAACCCCCAAAATAAAGTTGTATTGGATTATTCTTAAAGTATAAATATTCGTGAGTCCATACTGATATAACTGATTGAATAAATAAATGGGGAGGAGACACAAAACCCTTACAGAATTCCAAATGGCTTGTGTCAGTGTTGCCTTCAAGGAGGCAGAGTATTCAGGAGGCAAAGATCAGGAGGATCGTTGTTCAAAGCCAGCCTGGGCAAAGAGCTGACGAGACCCTATCTCAAAAAAACACATTACAAAAAAAGAGCTGGTTGAATAATTCAAGGTATCGGCCCTGAGTTCAAACACCAGCACTGCCAAAAAAAAAAGGCAGAATTGTGCATAGTGACTGCCTTCCAACACTGCAGAATGGAAAAGAGGGTAACAAGGGTAAATTTATGGTAGGAGAATTTGACAAATACTACTTCATCTAGGTGATCAAGGTCAACATCAACAATGAATCATGTTAATAGCATGTACTTTTAATATAATGTGCTTAAATGGCATTTTACTTCTGTGTCTTCCTCTCAAAGCCATCTCTCCAATCTAATCGTGAGAAACATCAGACAAATCCTATGAATATTTCACAAATAGTCCTCAAAATTATCAAGCTCATCAAAACCAAGAGAAATCTGAGAAACTATTACAGCTAAGAAGAACCTAAGGAGACAAACCAACCACATGTAATGGGGAATCCTGGATGGGGTCTGGAGCAGAGAAAGATGTTCGACAGAACTGAGGAAAGGTAAGCTAACAGTCAACTTTCAGTTCATAAGGATGTGTGACAGTGGTTCATTAATTATAAGTGTGCCATCTTGTGTAAGATGTTAGTATCAGGGAAACCGAGTGTATGGTGTATAGGAACTCTACTGTCTTCCTAGTTTTTATTTACTCTAAAACTATTCTAAAAGAGATCTATTATTTAAAAATAGTAATAACCACTCAAATTTCTTTCCTCCTTTGCTTTCTATTTTTTGCTTATTTTTTTTGTTGTTGTTGTTTGTTTGATTGATTTTGTTTTGAGACAGGGTCTCACTGTGTAGCCCAGGCTGGTCTCAAACTCAAGATCCTCCTGCCTCAGCCTCCCAAGTTCTGGAATTACAGGCATATGTCACCATGAGCAGCTTCTCTTTCACTCTTTTACTTGAGAGTAACCTGTAATATTCCATTGAATTTTTCTTCCTCATAAAATTTTGTTTCCTCAAGTTCCAAACTAGCAAGGTTGGAATTTACTACGCATATAACAAACCTTTACAGTAACTTTAGGGTTGGGAGAATTCAGGTCTTTTATACTACCGGTAGGGAGACACAACTGTTCCAGCACGAGGCACAGTGGGAACGATATGACTTTGTAAGGCACTGTAGGCTTGGCCAAAACTTTCCCCAAGAAAAGATTGGTGCCACAAGACACCCCTGGATTGTGAAGTCAGGAGTTTTCACATGAACCACTCCAATATAAAAAGAGGAAGATTGCAGTTTGAAGCCAGAATTCTGAGAGACCCTATCTTGAGAAAACCCTTCACAAAAAAGGGCTGGTGGAGTGGCTCAAGGTATAGGCCCTGAGTTCAAACCCCAGTACCCCTCCAAAAGCAAGACTCTTCATAATGTATTCCTATTTAATAAAAATGTTAATCCAATGGATAGGATTGTTTAAAATTATCCAGTTGAATATTGAGAATAGTGATTTTCAGACTTTGATCTGAAAACCTTTATTTTTTTTGGCAGCACTGGGGTTTGAACTCAGGGCCTCATGTTTGCTAGGCAGGCACTCTACCACTTGAGCCACTCTGCCAGCCCTGTATGTTGGATTTCTGTGTGCAATTTTTTTTGGAGGAAGAGTTCAAAACTAGTGTCTGAAAATATTATTGTCAAAAGTGATTCTGGTATAACTGATTTTTAATTCTTCCTAATCACAGGTTCAGTTGCTTCTTGAGACCATTCCTTGACAGTAAATTTCTGTTATTGCCTTAGCCCAGATGCCTCCAAAAAAGCAGAGCAGTAGCTAAAGACATGTACTCATGTAGCACATTCAGGAGGAAATTCCAGAGTGTGTTAGATCTTCTCCAAAGCTATGCACTATTCTCTGCTCAGATAAGCCACTGCCACTTATAATCTGTAGTTTTTGCTTGTAGGTGTTAAAAGGTTAGACTTCAAAGTAACATCTGTCTAAATAATAAAAACTCTGCACTAATAAAATTCCAAATCAGAGGAAGTCAAATTAATTTGCAACATACACCATTTATAACTTCCAAAGTATGGTGGTCTAGGGGCTGGGGATATACCTCAATGGTAGAGTTGTGGGCTTAGCATTCACCAGACTCTTGGTTCAAACACTAACACCAAAAACAAACAAACAAAAAATTGTGTTCTAAAAAGCAGGTTGTATCAGTCAAGGTTCTCTGAAGAAACAGAACCAACAGGATTTATATTAAAATATTATCAATGGAATAAAGATGTTGACTCATGATTGTGGCTGCTGGCAAGTCTGAATTTACAGGACAAGTGTTGATGTTGCACTCTTAAGGAAGAATTTCTTCTTGAGATTCTTGCTCTTTCATTCTTCACTGATTAGATGAGGCCTGTTTGCACTATTGAGCATAATCTCCCAAACTTGAAGCCAACATAGATGTTAACCAATCTAGGAAATACCTTTCCAGCAATGCCTAGATTTCTGATAACTGTGTGCTTGTGGTCTAGCAATGATGGCACATAAAACTAGCCATCACAGGTTGAGAAGTGAAAATCTAGGGACATGATTTCCTTCCTCTGACACACTGGAAAGGTCAGAAAATCCTTTGTTCAGTTTCTTTTAAGGACTAGCACAGTGACACCATCACTTTAATCCTTAGGTAACATCATGGAAAAAGGAACGAGGAGATTTAGTGAAACAAGTATATTTTTGCAGGGAAAGAATGCTACCATACATAGAAATAATGTGTGTGACTATGATAGAACTTCATCTCATAACCCTCTGCAAATGCAGCCAAATGATCTAGACCTATATTATCAGCTCCTTAAATCAACCCCAGTGAAAGTCATCTAGTCTGTCCTCTTGTTTATAAGCAAGGAATTTAGACAAGTAGGAATTAAGCAACTTGTCTGCAGTCTTACCACATATCAACACAGACCCAAAAACAGAACCAGGTGTCCTCAGCCCATACCATTAAAAACTGGGTTTTTTCCCATTTGATGGCATAATTTCACTTGCCTATGAAATAATAATGTGAGTAACTATTAGAGAATAATTGCTAATTTGACAAGTGTTATAAAGGTATCAGGGTTATATAGAAAAACTGTTTTTTGGCTACATTGGGGTTTGAACTCAGGTCCTCACATTTGCTAGCTCTAACACTTGTGCCATGTCCCCGGCCCCCAAAAAACTGTTTTTTAGGGATGTATACTGCATGTACCATTTTCAAAATACTTCAGAGAAGAAAGAGAAGGAGAAAAGGAAAATATTGATAATTGTTGATATAAGTGATGGTTATATGGCAGTCCATTGTATTATTAAGACCTAATTTTTTATTTGGTTTGGGGGTTTTTTTGGTGCTGGGATTGAGTCCAGGGCCTCGTGCACACTAAGCACAGACTCTACCACTCAGTTACAGCCCCAACCTCTCTCCCTATTCTCTCTATGTTAAGTTTTTCATAATAAAAAGGGAAAAGAAAAGAAAGTTCGCTTTCTTTCTGTTCCTAAGTTTGTAGGTCAGCATTGATTTTTTCATCTATCCCACGTTCTTTGTCTATGCATTGTCAGTAAACCTCCCTGTGTCTCCAGGCATGTGTACATTCACTGATCTAAACTGGGATGCAGAGCATCTCACATGCACCCTATGTGAGCATTTCCATTCCCTCCTCATACTTGTTCTAAGACTTTAAGATTTGCAGGAAGAAAAACTATCACGATATACTTATATCTCTCAAAAAAGACCCAAAACCTAGGGCTGGGAGCATGACTCAAATGGTAGTACCTATCTACCAAGTGCAAGGCCCTGAGTTCAAATTCCAGCACTGCCAAAAAAAAAAACCAAAAAAATACCCCAAACCTTTTGATCCATCCCTCCATGGGTAATCAAATAAGACACCAAAAATAATTTGGCTGAGATAGAGATGTTAACGCTTACAGTGTCCTCCCAGCATTTTTCATTCAGATTGAGAACATGACATACAGCAAAACTTTCATAATTGTTAGTACTTTGTGTGCAAGATATTTCAATAGGCCATGCTATTCATATGGCATATGCACCGCACCCTCATCATTAAGAATTAATTAAGCACCCACTGTGTACCTGTGCTAAGGACTAGAGTGATTAACATGTAAAAATCCAGGTCTTGGATTCTGAGTTATCCAAATAACTACCTAGGGGTTCAAATAAACCAAGTAATTACAAATCTCAGCTGCTTTGATTGTTAATTGGATGTAGCCATCTCTGTGTTCCAGCGTCACACACTCAGCACTCATATTCCAGGGACATCTGATAACGATACATTAAAGATAATGATTAAAGATGCATCTGATAAAGATAAGCTGCAGTACCTCTGACACACTGAGCTGATGACCAGAAAGTGCACCGTCTCCTGCAGCAAAGCTGGAAGCTCTTCATTTCTCTGTGATTATCATTTGTTTGACCTTTGAAGAATTGTTTGGGTTTTTGACCCAACTGAGAACATTGTGATAATCTGTTTAAGGTAGAGGTGGGGAGGACATGTCCAAACTCCAATTCAGTCTTTTTCCCATTGATAGTTAACAACTAAGGGTCACGATGACTAACAAGAAAGCATTCTTCACCCCTTCAGAATAGAGTATGTTAACTTAGCGTATAAATATAGATATGCAAATTCCCATCACTTAGCCCTTTCATTCATCAACTGTGTGATTCTAGACTAGTCATTTAATCTCTCTCTCAGTTTATCTATCCAAATAAGAGAGTCAAATGATTTTAAAGCAATTCAAAATATACTGTTCAGATGTTTCTACAATTTTTAAATTCAGTGATGTTAATAAACATTTTAAACGAATGCTATTGCTTACACACAATTTTGGGTTTTTTATTTGTTTTGTTGGTGGTACTGGGATTTGAACCCAGGACCTTGCTTTTGCTAGGCACATGCTCTACCACTTGAACCATGCTCCCAGCTGGCTTAAACACACTTTCTTTCTCCCTTAGCCCCCAGGACTGGGGTCTTAACTCAGGGCCTCATGTTTGCTAAGCAGGCATTCTGACCACAGAGCCACTTCACCAGCTCCTTATACACACTTTCCATGAATGTTTCAATACTATTTTACCCATTCTGTTTTCCTTATTTTTACATGTATTTTAACATATGTGGCACTATGTCTTTTAGGCTTAGTATTAACTTTTTCTGAGGACCCACATGGTAGGAAAAAAAACAGAAAAGCAGGTAGATCACAAAGCGTACATAGCAATGGGCCCAGCATATGCCTGTCAGGAGTGGCTCTAGGATTTGCACATCTAGGCATGTTGGAGGTAGAGGAAGGAGATACCTAGGAGAGGCCTAGAGGCTGAGAAGGCCAGGGCTTGCTGGGAAATAATGGATTCCCTGGGAAGGGTCTTGACATGTGGTTCAAAGACAAAGGGTTGTGTAGAGGACAGAGATGATTTGGGGCCTACTGAGAAGTCTGGCATAGGGAGCTGGGGATGTAACTCAGTAGTTTAGTGTTTGCCTAGCATGCACGAGTCCCTGAGTTTAAAAAAAAAAAGAAGTCTTGTTTGAACTCACTTC